AAAAAAAAAAAAAAAAAGAGGATGTTGTGTTTGGCGGGGGGGTGGGGGGGGGGGGGGGGGGGGGGAGCAAATAATGATTTGCTTTTGCTTTGGAAAAGGATATAAAGGTCCATTTAAATCCATTTTTATTTTATATATTTCATTGTTTTGGCTTGAAAATATGATCCTGTTTACCTTTTCAGTTCAGGATAGATTTGGAATAAAGTCTAGTTATAACACATCATGACAATTAGTTCTCGCATCTTCCATTTGTTAAGATTTATACAGCAAACCTTTTGCGTAAATGTTGCTTGGGTTGAGGCTATTCGACAGAAACCCATATCAACAATCTGATCGGCATGCCATAAGAAATTTGCATGGATCCACCAAAAGCATTTGGCCCATCACAGAAATTAGGAACTGCCTTTTTGATTTGAAGATTGAACAAATAGTAGTGAGAAATGCACCAACTGAGAATAACTGTAATATAAGTCCATTATTTGGTCTTTGGTTCCTATCATTTAGCTCTTTTGCTAAATTAAAATAAATCATCTTGCTTTTGTTTTGTCGTTATGAATGATATTTATTGAGATAGTGTTAAAAACCTGTATTGACCTTTTTCTGCCACCAGAGGGAGCTAAAGCTGCTTCTCTGCCCTTGCTTTTTTAACACTGTGGAGTGATCGTGTTTGTTGGATGCGTAAAACGCCACTAAGGCAGAGAGAACTCAATATGCTGTAACTCAAGAAGACGGATTGATTTGATGTTATATATTTACCTTGAAATATTAAATCAAGCAATCTCTAAAAAGTTAAATTCTACTTTATTACTGTGACGACAGTAACTTTAATTTCAGCTGAATTTCCTCTCAGAGGACAAAAACGTTGTCCTCTGAGGCATCCCAATTGCAGCACTCTTTTATTTGCCTGCATTTTGTGAAGAATTGATTATAATCTTAAATGATAATCTTACGTTTCACTGAGTTCTCTCTACCTGTAAAGCTTAACGTTATTTAAGTTGTTGAACAAAGTGCAGGAAGTTCAAACGTGAGCTTTTACAAATCCTTGTAATAGTTGCACTCCGAAAATTTCCTGAGATTATTTTATGTTATTAGATCCCACTTTTGTTTTCTGAGTTCCACTTTGCTCAAATGTATTAAAGCTATGTTCATACTGCTAACATGTTTTCCTCTCTTTCCTGTCTGCTGCGTGGGATTTTTTTTTTATGTTATTATTCTTTTTTTTTTTTTTAACTCTCCGTAGAAGAAAATCATGATCATTATATGCTGTGTGGTTTTGGGAATTGTCATTGCTTCCATAGTTGGAGGAACTCTGTCTTAAACCTCAGCTGCTGTCACACTGAAACACGCACACAGTCACAAAACTACACACACACACACACACACACGCGCACACACACACACACACAAATGAAAACAGGCAAAACCAGTTCATTCAGTGTCCTGTATGAAAAACTACATTCCAGAACGACGTTTCCCAACCCCGGTCCTCAGATCAAACTGCCCTTCGTCTTGTAGATGTTTTCTTGCAATAAAACACCTGATTCTGATAAATGAAGTTCAACCGGCGCCTGGCAATTAGCCCAATTGATCAAAATCAGGTTTTCCGAAGCAGAGAAACATCTAAAGCGTCCGTGGCGGTTCATCCTGAGGGTCGGCGTTGGAAACGACTGATCTGGAACGTGCTTAGCACACAGTGTGTCACGTATGATGCATTCTGCAAATAGTGTACAGGACCAGAGGTGATCTCGCATGAGTTGCTATTTTGTAAACATGTGGTGCTGCAAATTGTTCATCTGGATGTTGTTAAAGGGTATGACGTTTCTGGAAGTGGGACGTCACTCAATGGTACGTATTCTTAGGCATCCCAATTCACAAATAAGACACTACTTTGTTTGTACTCTCTGTTTTGTGTTGTACAAGCGAAGTGATGGGTCACTCACCTGCAGTGTTTTCACAGACAATATTTTACCTATTGTTTTGTAGTTTTTATATATATATATATATATATATATATATATATATATATATATATATATATATAATATATATATATATATATATATATATATATATATATATATATATATATATGTGTGTGTGGGTGTGTGTGTGTGTGTGTGTGTGTGTGTATATTTTATTCTAGTTTCCTTCAAAGCCCTGCATGGTGAAGTGTTGTTCTGTGTTCAGATGCAAGGGGAGGGGGACCAGACAAAGAAAACTAACCATGTACAGACGTTTATGTTTTTGCTTGTTGAATCCCCACACTACCAAACTTCTTTTGTTTTACTGTTTTTTTTTTTATTTATACACAGCTAAAGCAGTTATACAGTTTTTTCTTTTTTTTTTAGTTTATTTCTGACGTAGCTGGTGTGGCTCTCTGTTTGTTTGTTTGTATGCATGTATGTTTAAGATCAAATGTTCTGTAGCTTCTTGGACTGTCGAGTCAAGCTGGAGTGTTGGTTGCGTGTCTTGATTTTTGTATTTTTTATTGATACTCTAACACTGCCAGTCAGTTCAGCTAAGCTAAGCAGAGTCTCGCCTACTTAAATAAAAATTTATTTCTGCTTAATTTACGTGAATTTTAAACAGCGCATTTTATTTTCTCGGGCTACTTCTTTTACTCCTCGACTAGTCGATGGCAGTATGAACAGATAGTCAGAGAGGCCCTCATTCGTTTATGGATACATTCGCAAACTTGCAACCGTGTTGCCATGTTGTCTACTCCAGTGTTTCCCAGCCCTGGTCCTCAAGGCACACTGACCTGCATTTATACACATTATTTCACATTATTTCAATTGTTGGCTGATTAGCAGGGTTTTGCTGAATTGCAATCATCTGAATGGGGTGTGTTGAAGCAGGGGAACATCTAAAACATGCAGGTCTGTGTGCCTTGAGGACCAGGGCTGGGAAACACTGGCCTACTCAATGTGTTGCCTTTCTGTTGTATTGTGTTAAACTGGTTTTCTTTGTTTTGTACTTGTTTTTTCTGTTTTCAAGTAAAGTCTATTTGGAAAATGATCTGGAGATGTTGTGTTTTGATTAGCAGAAGAAGTTTCTGGTCGGTGGAAAACCTGTATTGACCTTTTTATGCCACCAGAGGGAGCGAAAACTGATTCTCATCATTTCTCATCGTCCCTCCATGTTCATCTGATACTCTAGTCAATGCAAGTAATCTATTACATTAGAATAGTGTTAAAGGGTTCATTTCAGTAACTCAGTCCACTAAGTTAAACACGTTATGTAGACCAATTGATGTTTTCAAGTCTTTTTTTTAATCTAGATATGAAGATTTTTCACTTAAAGCGAATGAAAATGTGACATGATTAGAAAAAACTGATCAGATCAAAAATATTCATAGAGATGCCATCATATTAAAAGGAATGTTTAATATGAGCTTAAAGGTTGTTATTTTCAAAAGGCACTTTTAATCTGATGAACGGACCTCATTAAAAACCTTATTTTAATTTACTGAAGGCGGCTGCATTTTAACCAAAAATGAACAAGACACAGACACACAGATATTTTCTTTCTGTTGAGTCAGTGCTAAAAACGCTTTATTTCTGAAACCTCATTGTGTGTTTTTTTTATGCAGACAATAAGAATCTCCTTCAGTCAGCTCTCTATGTAACTCAATTCTCATTTCCATGTTTTTCTGGCACCGTGTTTTTTTTTTTGTTTTGTTTTTTTAAATCAAGTAGCTGCATCGACTTTTGTGATGCTGCAAACTGTCATCTGATTGGCTGCTTAGATACCTGGTCAAACCAGGTTGACTAAACAGAGGCAACAGCTTCCTTGCATCACTGAAATTAATCCACTGTGTCAACAACTTGGACTTATTTTTATTCTCACAATGAACCAGATCTGTTTGAAATGTTGGCTGTCAGATTTTTATGTTCATTTGCAGTTTCTTACATGTATTCAAGCAGAACTGGAGTCGGGTTTTTATTGGAAAACAAAATGTTATTTCACATAAACAGGAACTTTTATGAACAGCTTTTTTTTTTTTTTTCCACAAGACAATTGGTAGTGAGTTCGGTTGCTCCGATCTCCTAAAGAAACTTTGCAATCATTTTACAATCAGACCAACTGGGATCAACTCAGAGGTTTTTGGTGCCAACATTTCTCATCCATGAAATGCAAAGAAATTGGATTACATTTATATCTTAGTGGAGCTGTTTTGAGATTCAGATTCATCTTGGCAAAATGGGCTGGAGGTTATCCTTTTGAAACCATGTTTTCTCAGGGTTCTTTTTGATTATTTGTTATCCAGTTTATATATATATATATATATATATATATATATATATATATATATATATATATATATATATATATATATATATATATATAGATAGATAGATAGATAGATAGATAGATAGATCTGCAGGACAGTGAAGTTAAGCTCATGATTTCCTCTGTAAAATAAAAATGGGGCTAATTTCCAGTTAAAGTACAAACTATTAGGTAGATATTAAAAAAAAGAAAAGTAAGAGTAGCGTTAGCTTAACAACAGATGGATTTACCAAACGTCTCAGTGGCCTGGAAAAAGGTAGAAGCGCTTTGTTAGAGTGCATCTGTCTTTTGTTGGCATTTGTCTTTTGGTGTCATCAGGAAAGTCTTCAAAGCGTTGCATGACCTGCAGAATAGAAACAGACAAAAATGACTCTTTCCACTCTGTTCTGTTTTCTTTTCTTTCTTTTTTTTCCAGTTTTCAAACGTTGTGCCATCTGAAAAACAACAACAAAAAAAGTACTTTTCTGAAAAGTTCATCAATGTCATCCTGGTGGGAGTAGGTGTTGAAAACTTCAACAATGTACTGAATCAGGAAGGAGCCCAAATCCTCTCTTCTGTATGACACAGTATCTGTAAAAAACAAAAACAAAAAAAAAAAACAGTTTTCTTACATGCAGTTACTGATTTCTGATTGTAATCTGAAAAAACAAAGTGCATCCAGTTGATTTAAGACACAAACTGACCAGGCGTGCTTGACAGGAGGGAAATGCAGTCCTTTTCCTTGTGAACGTATCGAATGGAGTCTTCAACGATGCCGCCTTTGGGAGAGGGTGGCCGGTGCGACGCCTCGTCAGACACCACGCTGGGTTTCGCGCTGTCGCTAACAATGGCAGCTCCTTCCAAAGCTGTAGCAAACGAGCAATAATTACACCTGGATCTGAACCACACTGCAGTCTCAAACTCGGGGTGAATGATGAGCACCTCCTCTGCAGGCCTGGATGATGATGACCTTGGGTTTGTCCATCAGTGCGGAGCATTTTTGTGGGCCGAGATATTTGTAGATTTTGTCAACGGGGAATTCGTCTGGTTTGTCTTGCCTGTGGTCGACTCCGAGTACCAATCCCCGTTTTCCATGAGACATGATCACCACAAACACGCTGTCTGTTTCTTTCAGCTTGGGGTGTGTGATGAACTGACGCAGAGCCCCTTCAATCTCCTGTTGGAAAGCGAAAACGAACAGCAGTCAGTGTTTTATGAACTCGTAAAAGAGATGAGACATCTCAGGTGCAACGATCCTTATTTTCTGGTATGTAGAATAAAGTGATTTTTTTTCATCCTCATAACTTTCTGTTATGTAGGAGCGGTACGACTCTCACTTTAATCGTGAAACTGAGAGCTGTACCTGAAAAGGAACGCCGTGATTTTATTGCTCGTTGACAGAGACTAAAAACCCCACAACTCAATCAACCATCAAGTTGAGGCAAGTGCAGTGAGAGTTTCACCTAAAAGCACTGTAGCGTTTAAAGAACCTGTGTTTTGATTGTGCAGCCGTGCACATCAACAAAAGTTTAGCATTTCATATAAAATGTCTTTAAAACATGCCTAGAAAAATGTTTTGATTGAATAAGAGTTACAATTTATGGCTTAAGTTACGATGCATCACATTTTTTATACATTTTAGCTGCTGAAATGTTACTGCTGCTTAACGCAGGGTTCACAGTTTTGCTGATGTAGAGGTTATAGCAAAATATAACCGTTCTGAATTGGAAGAAAACTATATTTTAAAAAGAATACCTGTTTTAATATTTTTCTTGCATTCTGAGATTTTCCAAATGAAGGAACAAACCAAAAATAATGCTACCTTGTAAGAAAGGTTTGCTTTGCCCAAAGTGTCTTAACTTTTACGTTTGAATCTTTTTATAAATGCAACAGTTAAATTCAAAGAAATACTTAAAAATGGGTTTGAAATACCTTTGCTGTAAGGTCGTTGTGCTTCACCACCTCATACTGCAGGGATCTGAGCAGACTCAACATGTTCTCCTCGTCCTTCTCAGCTCCCCTTCTGGTTAAGTCTTCGTCAGTAAAGTTTCTGTTGGTGATCAAAAGGGCCACACGGCTTTTCAGAGACTTTTCGGACACTTTGTAAATCTGGAAAAAACAAGAATAGTGCAAGAATGCAGGACTGAATACATTTTTTTTTTTACAAACAATGATTTTACTTTTAATTGTACAATCGACAGCTTGTCATTGATAATATCCCCTTTTCAGGCAGTCTGACTACAGTTATTTATGTCAGGTAAAGAGAATATTTTGATTGTAATGGTAAAACTTTACGTCTGGATCATTCATTTTTTTCGTCCTCTCGGAGTCAGACACGGGGATGAGTCTGTTTGACCAGGTTCTCTGTGTCGGAGGAGCTGCATCTGAGAAAAAAAAAAAACAACACAACATTTGTGTTGCTATGATGTCAAAGTATTATTTTTATCCTTCGTAACAATGTAAGGCTTTCCCTGCAGTCTCACCCGGTTGATCTTGTGAATCAGGGAACAGCTCAGAGTGCATCGTTTCATCTCTGGTTTTAATGTGGTCGATCAGCTTCTGGCTGGCTCTTATGCCCTTCTTCCTCACGGTGTCGATGAGGCAGCGCGCCTTTTCTGCTTTGGTGGGGTTGTCCTCAAGCACACTTTCCACCTCGCCATCGTTCAGCACACGATCCTCCAAAAGGTCGTCCAGGAGCTGACTGATCATCGACTTTGACACCTTCTCCACGAATTTGCTGCGGACTTTGAAAAGCTCCTTATCTGCAATAATAATAATAATAATAAAAAATCCAGCTGTGAAAATCCTGACATGGGGGGGGGGGAAAGGTGAGCAGTGAATAAATCCCAAATCCTGAAGCCTTACCTGCCATTGCTCAGACTTGAGGAGACGAATGCCCAGTCCTCTGAAAGTTACGGATGTGTGTGTGTGTGTGTGTGTTGAGGAACTCAGTCTGCTCATAAAAGCAGGTGGAGACAGCTGTTTGATTTGCGCACGGTTCCTTGGAAGCTCATTATTTTTCTAGGAACAAGTTCTGACTGGCTGCTGAAGATGTGAACCCTGAGAACTATGATGAACTCAGTTATGCAATCTGGTTAAATAATATTCCCAGCAAGTAAAGAAAAACCTGTAATAATCTTTAACATGATTAAATATCGTTTTAGAGCTACATTAATTCCGGGTTTTCACTTTCCACTGATCACATGCACATCCACTTAAGCTCCTTTTTCACTATGAACATACAGATCAAATACCTGTTTGTGTTTCTCCCAGGTTTCTATGTGCATCACTTACAAGACATTCATACCATTTCAACACTTTGTTACACTTTGCCACATTGCAGCTATAAACTGTGATGTATTTTATTGGGATTTTATGATGCTGACCAACACAAAGCAGTGCATAATTGTCATTTGGACGGAAAGAGATAAGTATTATTATTATTATTATTATTATTAAAACGTCAAAACTTTGGTCTTGAGTTAATCTAGGATTAGTCAGTAATTGCTTTTCATTTTGATAAAGTTTGTCCTACGAATTCTTGTAGATTGTGTTTGTATATGTGGTATTGGACACCGATGCACACATCCCTTTTCTGATTTTCATATGTGTTTTTTTTTTTAATTGCTCACTATACTTTAAAAATCCCCTCCAAGTGCTTTGAGTTGTAACGTGTCAAAATGTGAAACGTTTACAAAACTATGTTTTTATTTTATTTACTAAAACTGCCACCATGTTGTGACTTTACGGTAAGACGCAGGTGGTCTGTGGACAGACAGATGGAGCTTTTCCACCTCCTCCCAGCGCTACTGCTGAGGTCTGCAGAAACGCACAGTCAACAACAACCAATCAGAGACAACAGAAAGGTCTTAATGCAGGATTGAAGATCTGTCGAGTTTTATGTATGTAGTATAAAAAGATTACAACCAGTCAGACCAAAAAAATGTGCAGATAACTAAGAGGTATTCCCATTTTTTTTCTCCACCTTATATTTAGTTTTCTGTGAACACCTTTTGCGCATAACCCCCCCTGCACAAAGCTGTTCCACACCTTGAGTGTCTGCATGTTGTTGCAGGTTCAGTCTGTAGGCTGCAGAACGAGATACCAGAAGTATTTGGGTTTAGAATGTGTTCAGTGTTTGTTTTTCAGTTTCATTCCTCCTATATCAATGTTTTCAGTGCTGCTCGGTGAATATTTAGCCTGTCCCAACATGTGCCACTTATAGACTTTCATTTTTCCCCTGCAGCCAGCAGGATCCCAGCACTCACTTCCCATGTCTCACGTGTTTACTCTGGTAAATGACAGATGTGCTTTGTGGGTATGCGTGCACGCTGCAGTACACAAATTTAATATAGAAAAGAGAAGAAGACACTTTTTTTGTGGCGTTTGTTTTGTCTTGTGCTCTTATATTTACAAAATTATAGTGAATAAATTAAGTTTTTTTAAAGTTTTACTAAAGCTTCCAGATTATTTTGGGAGCTTTCAAAATTAATCCAGAATATATTTTTTTCTGACCTTCACTTCTTGCACAAGTAATTTTAATATGTAATTGTACAACTGAGTTCAGTTATTATCAGTAACACAGCGGTTACCAAAACAGCATTTAGTACGAGCACTGATGGTTGGGAGTTTCTGTTAGGTAAATTGTATTATTATCAACTATTTGTTATACTGTTTTATATGTTCTTGTACTCTTATTTGGTTTAGTCATATCTTTTAAGGAATGTTTCTGTATTGTTAATCATTCTGGCTTGCTTTCTCAGAGGGCCTCTCTGAAGAAGAGCAGTGACATCAGCTCTTCACAGAACGCCCCACTTTGACCTCTTAGATAGCTATAAAACCATCGCCGTGAAGATGTACAACTTGTCCTGCTTGATCCTGGGTCAGGAACTGGATAAGCTAGTGCGAGATAGATTGTGTTGTTAGTTAGCGATAATCTTGGCGCTGTGACTGTGTGATGAAGTGTCTTTCCCCCTCCCTTTAGAGTTACAGCGCTCTCTGTGATTAGGGATCCTAAAGACAATAAAAAGAGAGGGGCAGGCAAATGTGCTTCAGAGCAGTAGGAGATTGTAACTGAAAGCACATCTCTGTCTGTTCTCCTCGCGAGTATTAAGAATCTAACTTTCTCTTGTCTTTCCTGTGTTATTTGCTGTGCTTAATAGGTGTCAACTCTGACAGTTTCTCAAAATGTAGAAATGTTTACCAATACTTTGCGATCTGAAAAGCATTTCAGAAATCGTAGGAGTATTTTTTATTTTGGGTTAGTTTTCAAGAAATGTTTCCAAGTTTTTGTGCAGAATGCAGGCTGAGGAATTCCAACATCAAGACGTTTAGGGTAGCTAAGATTAGCAGTGTCTCTGTAATCACGCCGCTAAAGATTTATGTTTCTTTTCCAGGCAGCTGGGAGCCTTCTTGGAAGAGCGCCTTTCATTGTGTTGGTTCTTCCTGTTACGAGGTAACCTCACCACTGCTGCATCGAATCTGCTCCTTTCTTTTGATGTCACCGATAAGCATGATCTGCTAAGTCTGATGAAATTTAATTAAACCAGGTTATAAACTATATTAATTAGACGTCTTTGCCTTGTGAAGAATCCTCCAATTATCTTTTTTTGTGGATTCAAAAACCTTTTTGTTCACTTACATGAGTTGGAGGAAAACTTGCTCGAAGAGTTGAAGTTTCACCCAAAGTCGCACAGATTTGGCAAAAACCAGAACAGATGTGTGTTTACTGACCTTTTGAAACAGATTGATTAAAGATCAAGTTAAGCTGAACTTTTTGCAAAGATGTGAGGCAGCAAGCTCAATATTCAGGCGATTCTAGGGATGTTGTGGTTTTAAAAGGTGTCATCCAGTTTTCAGCTACGGCTCCAATGTGTTTGCGATATCTATTTTGTATTTTCATCACTATTTTGAATATTACATATGGGATCTTTTGTAGCCTTTTATAGTTTTTTTTTATTATTATTTATTTTCCCAGCTCCTGTAAGTCAAGGAGCAATAAGAAAAAGGAAGCGGCGTTGTTTTTGATGTTCTGCTTGTTCAATCAAAACATTGGCAGCTTGTTTCTTTTTCACATTTTTTTCTTAATGACTGGAGCATTTCCAATCTACTGGTGCAACCAGTTTGTCAGCGTCCCTAACTCTGCATGTCTGCATGGATGCATGTTTACATGTGGTGAATTATATCCATTCGACTGAATGTCCAATCCATTTAGATCATCTGTTTAGTTTAAAATGTGCCTCACTAAAGCAACCTGTTTTATTTTCTTATGCTGGTTTCAAATTCAGTGACCAAAACATGAACAAAACTCTTCTATAAATGGATCTGCCAGAACTTATGAGACAGACTTTTGCACAATGCAACTGCTTAATGCAGTTTAACTCTGCTATGTTACTGTACTTGTACAGCAGGGTGTTGAATGCTGCAGAAATATGAATAACACCGGAATATAGAGACCATGTTTTTCTTCAAACGTTTAGTCTTTATTTTAACCACAGTATTAAAAAAATAGTCTGAAGTGAATGAAACTGAATCCAATTAAAGTAAATATACATTGCGTAGTAAATTAGCCCAATCACTCACAGTCTAAAAAAATAATTAAAAGAATAAACAAGATCAAAAGCCCAACATCTTGGTATGCGTATATGTAGAATTTTATATGAAGATACAGGTAAGGAGTGTTTTAATGGCACAACTCAATTTGTCAAACAGTAAATGTTAATGTTAGTTAATGTTAGCTTCACGGATTTACCAAACGCTGCCGTGTCAGTGGCCTGGAAAAAGGTAGAAGCGCTTCGTTAGAGTGCATCTGTCTTTTGTTGGCATTTGTCTTTTGGTGTCATCAGGAAACTCCTCAAATCGCTGCATGACCTGCAGAGTTCAGTGGAAAATAAAGACAGAGACTCGTTTCTGAACGTGTTCAGTCTTTTCCTGTCTCTAAATACTCTCTTTCCTGATCACTAATGCTTGTACCTTCCTGAAAAGCTCGTCGATGTCGTCCTCGTGGGAGCAGGTGTTGAACACCTCAGCGATGTACTGTATCAGGAAGGAGCCCAAATCCTCTCTTCTGTACGAGACGGTGTCTGTAACGAACCACAGTTTTCTTGCAAAAGTTGAGAAAACATCTGGAACATTGTGGAGTTAAAAGACAAACCTACCCGGGGTGCTGGACAGGAGGGAGATGAAGTCCTTTTCTTTGTGGACGTGTCGGATAGCATCGTCAACAATGTTGCCGCCTGCATTAGCAGGAAGTTGCTGCGACACGTCGTCAGAGACCACCTTAGCCGAGGCGCTGTCACTGACCACCACAGATCCACCCCTCTCTGTGACCAGCAGGGACAAGATTAAACCAGGATTAGGTCCAAGCTGTAAACCAGGGCGGGTAGTGCTCACCTCCTCTGCAGGCCTGGATGATGATGATCTTGGGTTTGTTCATCAGGGCAGGGCATTCCTGCGGACCCAGGTGCTTGTAGATGTTGTCGACGGGGAATTCGTCTGGTTTTTCCTCGCTGTGGTTGACCCCGAGGACAAATTCGCGTTTCCCGTGAGACATGATCACCACAAACACGCTGTCGGTGTCCCTCAGCTTCGGATGCTCTGTGAAAGTGCACAGGACCTCATTCATCCTCTGTGTGAGAGTAAGATGGAGAAAATTCAGTCACCGCACAAAGAGGAGAATGTGCAAGATGTCAACGTTGAAACAGATTTCCCAATGAAACGTCTTCTGTCTGTCAGTTAGCTGTATACACAAATTACTATACAAATTTTCATTATTCAAAGCTAAATTTCCTGTCATGTTAAATATTTATGTTTTGCTACCTGAACAACCATGACAACTACAGGTGAACTTTTCTCATTGCTTATGCAACTTTCAGTCATGAAAGTCACATTTCAATCATAAAGGATGATTCTGCGACTTAGAGTCAAAGTTTGTGCTCTGATTTTGTTGATGTGCTAAACGGCAGCAGAGTTTTCATGCAACAAATCTGCTGCAGAAGTACTGTGCACTGCAAAAATATTAATACCTCAGATGTTTACATTGCACAAACTTTTAGAGTATTTTATTATAATTTTACATCATAGAGCAGGGGTCCCCAAACTTTTTTCTGCGAGGGCCACATGACTGTTCCCTTTTCTGGTTGGGGGCCGGTCTTAGTTTTTCGGGAAAGAAACCTTAGAAACGTTTTGTTGACGGAGGGGGGGGGAGGGGCTGGATCACTACCGACGACATATTCGTGTTTGTAGATAGATTTTTACCCAGAATGCAAATGGAAAAAAACCGGTGAGTGGTACTGACTAGTATATATTCCATTGAGGGAAACTAAGTTTCATATCTGCTCAAGAGCCCCCCTGGTGGTTGAAGAAAAATCCACATACAGTATATATGAAAAAAAAACCCTGAATGCTCTCTGGTATTGTTCAGGGGGCCGGACCAAATGAGGAGGCGGGCCGGATCCGGCCCACAGGCCGTAGTTTGGGCACCCCTGTCATAGAGCAATGCAAAGTTTCTGGGGGGGTTTTCAGATAAAAATTTTGAAAGTTTGCTATGTATTATAGAGCTTACATAACACAGTAAAAATTAAATCTAGACAGTATTATTTAGTAAATTGACTAAACATAATTTATTATGAAAAGTTTAATTGTTTTTGTCAAATGTAACCCTAGTAATGCCAGAAATAGTCCAAGGCCAATTTAATACCTGTGCAGTGAGGTCGTTGTGCTTCACCACCTCGTATCCCAGGGATCTCAGCAGTTTCTCCATGTTCTCCTCGTCTTTCTCGGCTCCCTTTCTGGTTAAGCTCGGATTAGCAAAATTTCTATTAGTGATTAAAAGGGCCACACGACTTCTGAGGGACACATCTGACACGGCGTAAACCTGAAATATCAAACGAGGCACAAATAATCATCAGAACGAGTAAATAACATTGAGAATGTGAGGTTTAAGCATCAATTTAACGTGGAAATACTCCAAGTTTTTTATCTGGTTTGGGGAGAACTTAAATGAAATCATAAGGTCTTTTATCTTCTACCTGCATCTTTTCAAACAAAATTGAGTAAAATTGTGTTGCATATGTGTCTAATTGTTATTCTTGTCTGCTTTTACTTTTTATTGTTAAACTTTATTTTCACAACAGTGAACTGTAAGCTGAAAAATGAGCAACTGCTCATTCAAAACGCCCCCCTGTGAAGTAAAAGCGCTACAACTCGTGTTGAATAAGTCAGAGGAGGCAACGCAAGAGGTGAGTTCAGGTTACATCTTTAGATTTCCGTTTCTCGTTCCAGAAGGAGTCGGTCGTGGTGACGAGGGAGTTTGACCAGGCCTGCTGGTTCTGAGGAGCTGGAACTGAGAAAGACATCATCTCTAGTTACCACAACTGGAATTTTTTTTTTTTTTTTTTGTATCCATTTGACATCACAGACTTTGTAAGAAATGATTTCACTTTGCCCTCACCTGGAGCTGGCTTACAGGTGAGGCCGAGTTCGGAGTAAAGTGTAGGGTCTCTGTTCTCGAGGTGTTCGATCATCTTCCTGCTGGCTTTGTCCCCTTTCCTCCTCACCATGTCGATGAGGCAGCGGGCCATGTCCGCCTTCCCCGTGTTGTCCTCCAGCACAGAGTCGGTCTCCCCATCGTTCAACAAGCGGTCTTCCAACAGGTCGTCCAGCAGCTGTTTGATTAAAGCTTTGGAGACTTTTTCCACAAATCTCCCTCTCACTCTGGCGAGCTCCTTGTCTGCAGAGAAAAGCAGGATCTGGAAAATACAGACAAGTTCTTCAATTTGTGGTTAATCGAGTCTTACCAGCCATCACACTGGAGGCGAACGTCCTGTCTTCAAACAGCTAAGGATTAGTGTGAGCGTACAAAGGAAGTGGTCACCCTTTCAAAGCCCTGTGCAGTTCCAGGTAACTGGTTGGAAGCTCGTTAAACTAGTATATCCTTGTCAGGTTTGTCTCTGAAGCTTGTCATTCACTCACACCTGAAATCATGCCAATTATGCTAATAATTATTTATTCACGAGTGTTTTAGAGGTCATAAACCCGTTTTATCGAGCCTTGCAGTCGTACTTTAATGCATGTTAGGATTCACATCACCAGTAATTTTGTGCATATCTGCTAAAAGTGACGCTTTTCCTAAGAATACCAGGCTGTACATCAGTTGCTTGTTGCCACCGATAATGAAAATAGAAGTGTTTTCTTTTTTGTTTCTCTTACTTGGAATTTCTAAGAGCGTTTGGCCTTTAACTCTTAGATGTCAGATTGTCAGACAGGATCCCACAAAACGCAATAATGGTAAGAAGGGTACATGTGTAAAACAAAGAAGAAAATGACACGGAGTGGATGTTAAAATAATCTTTGTATGTTAGTGATGCTTTTGAGCAATTTGTTTTTGTCCAGTCTGGAAAAATCTTTCAACCCGTAATGCTGATAAATGTTAAAATAAGAAAAAGGTGCATGAGTTTCAATATATTGCGTTTTTTGTTTGCTTGTTTGTTTTTGCTAATCCATACATGATGAAAAGTGGAACACATACAGGGTAAACTTTACCATATACAGTAAACAATTGAAACAAGAAATGTCCACACTGCAACAAAAAAAAACACCCATTTTTTTTTTCCACATTAACGCTTTTCCTCTTTAGGTCAATTAGGGTTACCACATTTATTTTTAGTTGCTAAATGCTGAAATAATGAGTGATCGCTTTTTAATTCGGTTTATGTGCAGTTTTTTTTTAGTGTTTTGAAAAATTTCCTGTCAAATTTTGGATCTCAAACTTCTCACAGTAGTTTGCTGTAATTTTGACCCATTCTTCCTGACAGAGCCAGAACTGGATCAGGTTTGGACACCTCTTCAGTTCTGCCTATTAATTTGCTGAGACTGAGACTGACGACGCTCTAGACTTTGACTTTATAACCATTTCCGGTAACACTTTATTTGAAGGGGGCTGAATAAGACTGTCATGACACTTTCATAAACATGACATAACACCTGTCATGAACATCAATAAGCCTTCATGAATATTTATGACTGTTGTCATAAAGTGTCATTCGGTAAATTCTGACACTTTTAATACAAAGTTGACATTATTCAAAATGTCTGTCATGACAACTTGACATTAACCAGGAAATCATTACTGTTTAAACTTTACCTTTAATAACATAAAGTTACCTAATTTTTAAAGTGCAATCAGTAATACTTTTATAACAAATTTATATCAGTCAGTGTCATAATTTACCGAGTGACGCTTTATGACAACAGTTGTAAATATTCATGAAGGCTTACTGATGTTCATGACGCGTTTATGACAGTGTCATGTCAGTCTTATTCACCCCCCTTCAAATAAAGTGTTACCCCATTTTGTTAATATTATTAGAGTGGCTGTTGCCTTGAGATGTTGCTTCGATTTTTCCTCATGGTTTCATGCCGCTCCTTCACAGTTTGGATGCTGTTCTCAGGCTTGAAGGCTTCCGCCTTTTCCCCAATAACCATTTATACTATAATTAAATTTTACTTTGATCAGATAATAGGAGGTTTTCTAATATTATTTGTCCTTCTTTCTTCATTAGGCGTCTCTATTGCATACTATAGTACAGTCAGAGCCAATATAAGAGATGAAAAATGGAAAAAGATTAAAAACAACCCAACACTTAGGAAAAAATAATTTTATTAAAATGAAATGACAAACGGGAGAGAAAATTAATTCTTAATTCAGTCATTAAATCAGCATTTACGCTGTAATCAATTACCAAACTTCTCTTTCTTAAGCCTGGTAACCTTATTAGTCTGTGCTTGTTACAGAAAACTAATTTTCAAATTTGAACAAATTTAAATAAAGATATCGGGGTTCTGTGGTGATGCAGGGGCAAAGCACAACCCACATACGGAGCCTGTCCTCGACACGGACAGCACAGGTTCGATTCCCAGCCTGGTGGCCGTTGCTGCATGTCTTCCCCCCTCTCTCATTGCTTTCCTGACTAACAACTCTCAAATACAGGCAGCTAGAGCCAATAAAACATAAAAAGAAAATGTCCAGGTGTTTCTTCTGCAGAAAACAAAAATTGAAGAGCTGAAATCCGCAGGTTGACTTTCCTTCATAGCACATGTTAAATTCATAGCTGGTTTATTTAGCAGCTTCATCCCTCACATCGCCCATCATACCTGAGAACAGTCACAAAAATACGTGTGAATATAACTGACTTAGCTTCCTTCAACTTTTTTTTATACTGCATTACCTTACAAAATGGAATTAAAATAATGTTACATCATGGACATTGTATAGAATAACCTGTGAAACATTTAGGTAAGCTGTATACGCTTACAAGATCTGAGCGGAGACAGCGATGCGGGAACTTAGCAAAACAATGAGAAGTGTGGCTCTGAGTAATCAGGGATCATAATATCATGACAGAACTATGTGCTCTGAACATTTAAGAAAATAAACAATATCAAAAATAAAAATAAATTATGAATAGATTATTATTCTAATAGCCATACTTAACCTTCCAGTATCTCATAAACGTTGTGAGACAGGTTCTCCATCTCCTTCAGACTCTCCAGCAGGTGTTTGGCTGTAGCTTCTCCTCGCTTCCTTTTGTTCTTCCACTTCAACAGCATTTTCTGCTTCCGCATGGTTACACTTATCTCTGCTTCCTCCAGGTCATCCACGTCGTTGGATTCCAAGCCTAAGTAGATGGCGACCTGCTTCCACTCCTTCCCAAGCTGCTCGGCGACCTGCAGAAGCTGCAGCTCTGACAAGTCCTGGCTCCGAGTCACTCCATCTGAAGAAAGAGACCAAAAAAATAAAAATGTGGAGAAAAGTATGGTTGAAGTTGTCTGATAAGTTTTCAGTGGTCAAGCAAATGTACCTGGCTTGTCCTGCTGTCGAGCTCGTTTACAAGCCGTTTCTTCTTCTTCTTCTTCTTCTTCTTCTTCTTCTTCTTCTTCTTCTTTCCTTCTGCCAGCTGCGTGACAGATGAAAAAGTAGGTAATAATAGAGATGCAAACAGGTGTGGTAACGGTGAGTTGGCTAAAAGACAAATTAGTTTTTCTACACGTTTTTTTTTTTTTAACTACTCAAGCTAAAGTCTGGACTTTTCTTAACAAAAATCAGTTGAGATTGTGATCCTGTAATAAAAGAGAAAGTTTTTCTAAGATATTTTCAATATTAAGGGCTGCCAATCGACGTATATAATAACACTTACCTGACTGAGAAGCCTGAGCGCTGGACAACCCCAGCTGTTTGAAAAGCATTTGGTCTTTACTTTCCAGGTAACCAATCACCTTCTCGCAGGCCTCGGGTCCTTTTCTAATCACCGCGTCAATGAGAGCGCGTGCCTTCTTAGCTCGCGTGCGGTTCTCCTCCAGGATTGAATCCTTCTCCTCATCATCAAACACGTCATGTTTTAAACATAAATCTAAGAGTTGATTAATCACTGCATCAGACACTCGTTGGGCAAATTCATCTCTCACTCCCTTAAGTTCCTTATCTGGAATTGGAAAGAAATAATAATGGTTCATAAGCTGTTTTAATTGTTTAAATTAAGTAGAAAAACATCTGGTGCAAAACATTGTTAAGGAGGGAAGACATTTTTTTTATAGTTTTAAGATCATAAAATGTTTCTTTCGATACTCTTCACTTTTACACAGCGCTCTTCCTACTTCCTTCCTCCTGTATGATACTGTAGCCATGCAGATGTTCTTCCTTCAACTGACATGATTCTATTGATTTTAATTCCCGACATCCAAATGTAACATCGAATCAAGCTTCAATGTATTCCTGCACAGGACTTGTTTTTAACAAGTTCATTTTCAAAATGTTCTTAACTGGATCTGCCTCTTCGGCAGCTGTGCTTTCACTTTCCGACTCAAAAACAGTCACAACATCTCAAAAGACTCCTCCAAGTTCTACTTCCTCTTTAGCGCTTATCTGGGTGTTTCAACCGGGACCTCGTCTCTCAGTAATATTTAGTGTTTACATCTCCGTACCAGCCCCGTTCTCCGCCACAGTTCGCTTCATTTCGCCGCGGTGCCGATAGTCGCTCCAGATGTGATATGGTTTCGAAATTACGTTTACAGTGAAATGGCGGGACTGTCGGTTAACCCTTAACAAACCCACCATGAAAGATACAATGGAAAATTATTTATTTTTATTTATGTATTTGGGTGAAAGATGTCTTTAGTAAATACACGATATATCGACATCTACCAAAAAGTGCATATAGGCCTATATATAGTATAAAATTATTTTTTATTTGAAATTAAGAAAGCGCCACATTTTCAATGGTGCTATAGCCCCACCTGGAGAAGCCATATGAAATGTCAGGTTATTTCTCCATACCCTTTTGCCCCAATAACTAGTTGTAATAATTCAATTTCACTTTCATCAGATAATAGAAAACAATCTTTTTTTCTTATTTTTCATTTGGCATCTCTTTTGCATACAGTCAGAGCAGATTTAGAGATGAAAAATGAAAAGAAAGAAAAATATTCAAAATAATCCAACACTGGAAAAAAATATTTTATTAAAATGAAATGATATGAACAGGAGAGAGGCCATAAAAAAGAAAATTAATTGGTAGTTCAGTCATTAACTCAGCATTCACACGTTTTTTGCAGTGACATTTTTGTTTGTTTACAATGTGACGTTTGTATCTATCACTTTTACCAGCTTTTTCCAGATGTTTGCTGTTGTTGCAAACACTGCAACACGTTTACATTTTGTTCCTGGCTGTAATTGGTTACCAAACCTCTCTTTCTAAAGCATTGTTACACTAGGTGACTTTATTAGTCTGTGCTTGTTACAGCAAACAACTTTCCATATTTGAACAAATTTAAATAGAGTTCTATGGTGACGTAGGGGCAAAGCACAACCCATACATGGAGCCTGTAGTCCTCGACACGGACGGACCAGGTTCGATTCCCAGCCTGGTGGCCGTTGCTGGATGTCTTCCCCCATCTCTCTTTGCTTACTTTCCTGTAAAATATGCTCCTGTAATAAAAGAGAAAGTTTTTCTAAGATATTTTCAATATTAAGGGCTGCCAATCGACGTATATAATAACACTTACCTGACTGAGAAGCCTGAGCGCTGGACAACCCCAGCTGTTTGAAAAGCATTTGGTCTTTACTTTCCAGGTAACCAATCACCTTCTCGCAGGCCTCGGGTCCTTTTCTAATCACCGCGTCAATGAGAGCGCGTGCCTTCTTAGCTCGCGTGCGGTTCTCCTCCAGGATTGAATCCTTCTCCTCATCATCAAACACGTCATGTTTTAAACATAAATCTAAGAGTTGATTAATCACTGCATCAGACACTCGTTGGGCAAATTCATCTCTCACTCCCTTAAGTTCCTTATCTGGAATTGGAAAGAAACAATAATGGTTCATAAGCTGTTTTAATTGTTTAAATTAAGTAGAAAAACATCTGGTGTAAAACTAAGTATAGGGAAGCCATTTTTATAGTTTTAATATCATAAAATCTTTCTTTCGATACACTTCACTGTTGCACAACTCCATTCCTACTTACTTCCACCTTTATAGACATATTGATGCAGATCCCTTCAACTTATGATTCTATTTATTTTAATTACCGATATCCTGACATCCATCTGCTTTAGCACTTTTATTGATGTCAGTACAATTTTGGTTATTTTCAGGGGTCTTATTAGAAACTCTGTCCTCCGGAAAAAATACACATTTGTTTATGTTAAAGGTTAAATGGCAGATGTATGCACTGCGTTGTTCTACTTTTCTGGTAACTACTCCCATATTAAAAAGTAATATGTTTTGCTCCAAATGTAAATATGATCAAGCTTTAATAATTCATGCACAGGTCTTGTTTTTAGCAAGTTCATTTTCAAAATGTTCTCAACTGGAACAGTTGTTAAAGCAACATCTGTGACCCATCATAGAGCGCAGGCACGTCTTGAAGATCAGCGAGGAGAGTATTTACGTAAACTGCGTAAATACTGATACGTCTGGGATTGTAAACTTCATTTACCATCGCATTGACGGAGAAAATATAATTTATTACTTTGTGTTTGACTCAGAAAACTGTTTGACGCCCATCGCACTCAATGCCTATGTGCTATCGTTAAAATATGTAAACCAACGGTGGCCATTTCATAAATCGGTAAACGATTAAGCAATGATTCCAAGTGCTCTTGTAGTTTTTAATACGGTTTTTAATATTTCTGCCACCTCTTCATTACAGTTGTATCACAGTTAAAATAAAAATTAACCCTCAAATAGCCAGGATCACACTGGTCACAGATGATGATGGCCAGAATAATTTGTGACCTTACTTTGAGGGATCTGTATTTATCAGTATTTACGCAATTTACGTAAATACTCTTCTTCTCGCTGATCTTCAAGACGTAGCTGCGCTCTATCGCCCCCTGCGGTCACAAGAAAAGATGGGTCACAGATTTTGCTGCTTCTCTCTTTCCAATTCAAAAACAGTCACAAACTCTCAAAAGACTCCTCCAAGTTCTTTCTACTTCCTCTGTAGCTCTTATCTGGATTCAATGTATCAACGAGACCTCATCTCTCAGTAATATTTATCCTTTCCATCTCCGTACCAGCTCCGTTCTCCTCCGCAGCTCGCTCCATATCGCAGCTGTTCCAGATGCTATATGGTTTGTAAACTACATGACGTTTGCAGTGAAATGGCGGGACTGTCGGTTAACCCTTAACAAACCCACCATGAAAGACAAATGAAATATGATTTATTTGTATTTATACATTTGGGTCAACGATGTCTTTAGTAAATACATAGTATATTGACATCTAACAAAAAGTGGTGGAATTTTTATGCTTAATAAAGATTCTCTTTATTTGAAATAAAGAAAGCTCCACATTTCCACTGGTGCAATAGCCCCACCTGGAGGTCATAGAAAATGTCAGGTTATTTTTCTTTTCATTGAAGATAATATTCTTTATTGTTATGATATTTTTACTTGAAAACAACAACTAATTAAAAATAATAATAAAACAACAAGTAATTATATATTGGATTTAAAAAAAAATCTCATCTCGCAACATAAAATTAACTTGTATGCTTAATTTCACTTCATGTAAACAACTGAAAGGAGCACATAATGTGAAAATGGATCATTTTCTACCACCCAAATTTCCAAGGATGAAATCAACAGTTTAAGGGAATATTGTGGATAAAACAGGAATGATTACATCACCAGTTTGGCAGCATTTCATATATTTAAAACAACAAACATATTCACTATCATCTTTATTGGTGACTGTTGTAGATGTGCTTGCTTCTGCGTGTGTTAAGAACTGTAAGAAGAAATTATCCTTCATAGCACCCTCAGAAAAATGCTTAGCTTCTTTCTTAGCACCTGCAGAAAAAAGCATCTCTGGAGCCGCCACTGTCATAACTCAACATCCACTGATTATTACACAGAATCATAAACCCTTGGTCATTCTGCTCTAGACTGACAGGAGAACAAGTTCATATTGTTTGTTAATTGGTTGGCTAGTTGCTCAAACTAGCCAACCAAACTAGCTCAAATAAAACGTACAAAAAATTATTTTTAGTACAAAACAAGAAATACAAAAAGTACTAGCAGTGCTGCTTCAAATCACACTAAGACGTGTGACATTAGTGATCGTTGTGCAGGAGGCCTTGAAAGAGGTAGA